ACGGGGCAGTGGGGACCTGGCAGTACTCATTGAGCTCAAAGTTGTCTTCCAACCCAAACAATTCTGTGTTTTGTGACGTTCAATGAGGGGGCTTTGGTGGTGAGGAGGAGGTGGCAGACCCTGTGTCCTGACCCTGGCCTCCCTGCAGTGAGGAGGAGAGCCCTGCAGAGACCTCCCACGCAGTCGTGGTGAGCGAGGCCGTGATGACGGAGGAGGCTCTGAAGGACCAGAACAACCAGTACATCGTGTCGTCCGGCGTTGCGGGGAGCCAGTTCCATCCCGTGGAGGTAAGGAGCTGAGCTCTCCCCACCCCAGGCCGCGGCCTGAGCCAGCGTGACCGCGTGTTTCTCTCGCAGCCCCTGGGCGGGGACGCTGCCCTCCCCCCACCGGCGGAGGGCCCCGAGGCACAGCCTGCCGGTGGCAAGGGGCCCCTGGCCGCGCCTGCCGGTGTCAAGTGGCCCCTGGTGCAGTGTGTCACCAGGCAGCTCCAGAAGGACTCGTCCTTGTCCCCAGCCTCTGAGGGGCAGGAAGTCTCATCCCCAAAGGTTAAGTGGCCCGCGTTCCAAGGAGTGGCCAAGAAGCTCTCATGCAAAGTTTCTACAGCCAAGAAGCTCTCGTGCAAGATTTCCACAGCCAAAAAGTTTTCATGCAAGATTTGCACAGCCATGTTCACAGGGAGAGCAGAAATGGAGAGTCACAAGAGAGCCCACATTGGGCCCAGCACCTTCAAGTGTCCTGACTGTCCCTTCACTGCAGCCCTCTGGCCGGAGGTTCGGGTAGGTCCCTGGCTCTGGGCTGCCCTGAGAACAAGAGGTGTGGAGGAACGGGTGTCTCCTGACCCGGTGTGTGCCCCTCTGCCCCCAGAGCCACATGGTCCAGCACGCCAGCCTCCGGCCACACAAGTGCACCCACTGCAGCTTCGCCTCCAAGAACAAGAAGGACCTGCGCAGGCACATGCTGACGCACACCAACGAGAAGCCCTTTGCCTGCCAGATCTGTGGGCAGAGGTGAGTGAAGACCACTGGGTCAGGCTTCTTTGAGAGCACCTGCAAAGCTCCCCAAGGCTCAAGAGGAGATGGGATGTTGGCGAAGAGGTGACCCGATCCCTGGGAGCTCTCCCCCTTTGGAGGGGACTCTGCTCTAGGCAACGGTTCCTGCCCCAGGTGGGACCCGACTTCATCTCCAAGGAGCTTCTGCACGGGGAGGTTCCATGCTTGGGCCTGATGGAAGCATTCTGGGAGCTGGGACAGGCCGTGTTGTGGAATGTGCTCAGGGTGCCCGTGGCCTGGGTCCCTGCAGAGAGCACCAAGGCCCCGTGGTGCCCATGGCAAACTCTGCCTCCCCCTGTTCCTCCGTAGGTTCAACCGTAACGGGCACCTCAAGTTCCACATGCAGCGTTTGCACAGCTCGGAGGGGAAGCAGCCGGGGCCGCTTTTTTTGTTCCGCGTGTGGGGGGGACGGCAGCCGGGCCCGCTGGCGGCTGCCGCACCACAGACCATCATCCTGAACAGCGACGAGGACACGCTGGCCACCCTGCAGAGTAAGACGTGTCCCTGTCACCGGGGCGAGCTGCAGGTGCCCCGTGTGGGGCTGAGGCAGGTCCGGGCCAGGCGATTGCAGCTGTGGGTCAGGGTTACCGAAGGGGGCAGAGACGCGGGGCGGGCTGTGGGAGCCGCCCTGGGGAGGCCGTTGTGGTCTGTGCAGAACCAGGGTCTGGCGCTTCCTCCAGGCGGGTCCCAGCAGATCAGTACGTTGCAGGAGCAGCAGCGCAGGGAGCAGCTGATGGCAGATACAGGATGCGGAGTTCAGGGGCTGCTGGGGAGGTTGTTTCGCTCGGTGACCTCTAATGCCATTTATATTGGGAGAGTTTGGTTTTGCTTCT